TTTCTTTTCCTTTTATGGGAGGCAAATAATTTTTGTCATGATATGCACGAATCTTTCATGATTATTTATCAAATAAAATCATTGGATAGTTTTTACAATATTTACTCTTGCGTTTTAAATTTTTTCCCCTTATGCAATTTTTTTTCTCTAAAGTTTTTGATTGAATTTACAACGATGACAATTCAAATTTATATACAAAAGCTGCAACAATCATTAAAAAGAATACTAATTTAATTTTCTAAATTAAAAATAATGAGAACACGTACATTCACATTAGTTGAGCAAACAAAAATTAATTGCATAAGTTCTCAAATCAAAATCTATGTCAACTCTATCAGAATATGATGGATCAACGAACGAAAAAAGAAAAAACAAATCGCAGATTTATGTTGCCTATTCAAAAAACAATAATGGCCTTGGAGCTATCAATATACTCACAAACTTAAAACCTAATAATATAAATAATAGTTCCCATAATTACATGAGCCTAGCATGAATGTTTGTAGATGTACAACATGTTGCCAAGCATTTCGTGTATGATGTGAGATGATAATGGTTTCTTCTCTTCTTTACTGAATTTTTCTAACATGTTGCCAAGCATTTCGTGTATGATGTGAGATGATAATGGTTTCTTCTCTTCTTTACTGAATTTTTCCTGTTTGATGTCTTAAAATTGCTGAGTAACTTTATATACAAATACAACAACAAAGTTTTGTAAGTTATAAAACTTAAATATTATAAATAAATTATAACAAAAAAAGCTTTAATTTGAACTAACAGAAGCACATAATAAATGTCTGACATAATTTTTTTTCCTTCTATCGAATTGCGTGAGTACCTCGTTCCAACCACGAATGATTGTTGATACGAACAGACCTGCTGCAAAAGAAATTTACAATATATCAAATACAAATGCAAAAATAAATAAATAAATAAATGGCATAACACAGTTATTAAATAAACGAAGAAGAAGACGAACAAAATTTTAAATGAGAAAGAAGAAGAAATTTGGCAAAAAAAAATGATTTTTGGTGGAGTTCTTGTGAGTTTAAATAGAAGAATAAAATTGGTAGGGGTTGAGATCATGGTGTGATAACTTCTACCATGATGAATTAGTGGGGTTTAGTGGGTGGTTAGAGTTGAGAACAAAAATAAATAAAAAATATATAAATAATTAGAATCATACTTACGGTATATTTAAATATAGGAGTTAGTGTTTAAATTATAAATTTATTAATTAACGGTTAAATTAGACATTTATTAAATTACAAAATTAACCCTAGGTTTAGGTCTAGGTTTTAGTTCAAAATATCTTCGTTTTATATATAAGATAATACTTTTCCATTAATGAAAGAAAATAAATCTAAGGGAATATTCTGATATGACATAGGGCCTTGGACTAGCCCATAATTAGCTGCAGCTCAAATGTGAAGAATTTGTAAATGAAAAAGCCCAATTAAAAAAAGAAAAAAGAATTGCAGCGCATTACAATATTTTTCACACTCCATAAAAAAATAACAGGAGTTAATAATATATTTTACTAGTTATACACTCTAGTTGTATTTCAATTTTTACCGAATTATTTCTAAAATAAAGTGTTTTCAATTAACAAGCTGCGCAAGTAATTGACTAAGAATTGTACTTACTTAGAAGTAGAAGTTAATCGGAAATACAAAGAACGATAAATCGACTGAGGTTTGCAAAAGCAATGTCTTTATGACAATATTTTCAAGCTGTCTACGGTGCAACAACCTCTCTCGATAGTCACAAAGATACAACAGTCAGTTGCTTCAGTCTCTTACAAGGAATCAAGCAAACCGAAAATTAAATCTTTAACTAGCGAGGTTAAGATTCAACTTTTGTAAAGGGTGTAATAGTTTGAAGAAAACATATGTTCGTAATTGGAGACATCTGGTCAAAACCAACACGTTTAATTGGTTTAATTACACTTTGCACTCTTAAAGGGTATCATTTTGGCACTTTGCACTCCTAAAAATAATTTATGGCACTTTGCACCCTGAAAACATGTTTAATCGTCGAACTGCACTCTAGATATTTTTCGGCAATAATTTTCCGTCTTTAACTTATTTTTTGATCTTCAACATGGTCATTTTTGTCTATTCAATTGATTTTTTCTTCAGTATGAAATGTGCTAATGTATTTTCAAGCAAAAATGACTATATTGATATTCAGAAAATAGGTTAACAATCGAAATTCATGACCGAAAATAAACTAGGATACAGTTTGAACAATTAAACATGTTTCGATGGTGTAAAATGCCACAAATTATTTTTGAGGGTGCAAAATGTCAAAATTGTATATTTCAAGGGTGCAAAGTGAAATTAAGCTACGTTTAATTGTAATTGTTGTACTTGTGATGGATCGACCTTAAAAATTAATTAGGCTTGTGTTAGACAATTAATCACCATTAATCTTTCCTTAAAGTAATAAATTTATAATTATAAAATAGGCCAAAAAATAATCTTAACAATTTTTATTCACTTAATTCATGGTTAAAACTTAAAACTATAAAAACTCCAATATAAAGGTCACGTCGACCGACGTTTAATGCAAATATTAATTGTTTTATTATATATATATATATATATATATATATATATATATATATATATATATATATAT